CTCTGCAGAAGTTGGATGCCACATAGCCAACCAAGGCTCAAGTCCCAGCCCCAATGACTTGAAAAACATTCAAGGTGCACGGACCAGCCAATGGCATAATGGTTATGTTTTTGGACTTCCACGTAGTCGACCATGTTTCAAGTCCTGGACCCAGCAGCTTAAAACTCACACTGGGCACATGTGGGCCAAAATTGCAAAAGAACGGAGAAGGGATTGGGCCTTGGCTAGTCCCCCTGTGGGGTGATTTCTTGCTTTCTGTCTCTCTGGCGAGTGTACATGCCCTATAGCAAAATCTCTCAAAAAAAAAAAAAATTCTGGGTATATCCTGCATCCAGGATCCTGATGGGATGGAAAACTGAAGCAAAGAGGATTTCAGTGTGACGAGGCCCTGTTAGGGGCAGGGCTAGTTTTTCTCTGTTGTCTGTGTATGCCCTCTAGCATTTTTAAAAATTTGCCCACAAAGGGGCCGGCAGGTGGTATGGTGGTTAAGGGCGCTGGACCCCCACATGGTCAACTGGTTCTAGTCCCAGACCTGGCGGCTTGCTTTCTCACTTTCCCTCTTCCTCTCCCTCTCTGGTCAAATTTTAAAAATAAGTAAGTGAGTAAATAAATAATGTTAAAAAATTTGTCCATGAAGAAGAAAGCACCATGTCACCTGCTGGCTCCTAATAAATATTTATTTACTCACTTTTCCTCCAGACCTGCTGGCTCCTAATAAATAAAGACTTATTTATTTATTTACTCACTTTCCCTGCAGATCCAGGACTCCAACTGTGGTCAGCCATGTGGGAGTGTCCAGCACCTTAACCACCATGCCACCTGCTGGTCCCTCAGCATGAGTTTTAAACCACCAGGTCTGGGACTTGAACAGCGGTTGACTACGTGGGAGTCCAGCAACATAAATATTACACCATCTTTTGGTGCCTATTTTTTGCTAATGCTTGTGTGAATAGCTAGGGTTGCCAATGTCATACCCTTAATTATTCCACTGCTGGTTGTCACTAAACAGGTATCTTTTTTAAAAAATATTTTTTAAAAGAATTATTTTACTTAACTATTCATGTATTTTAATTTGACCAGAGAGGGACAGAGTCAGAGACAAAGAGAGAGAGAGAAAGTAAGAAAGCAAGCCACCAGGTCCAGGACTCAAACCAGTCAACCATGTGGGAGTCTAGCGCCCTTAACCACCACTCCATCTGCTGGCCCCTTAATTTTAATAGCTTTATTGATTGATTGAGGTTTTTACCTTAGATAAGGTACGCTGTAGAGAGAGAGAGAGACAGAGACAGAGGGAAAAAGAAATCACCTCCTTCCTGGGGGGGAGGGGGTGGCCATGCCACAATCCCTTCTCCATTTTCCTCCCAGGATCTTGGGCACACATGCATGCACATGTGCCCGGAGCAATTTTCAAGCCACCAGGTCCAGGACTCGAATAGCAGTCAGCCATGTGGGAATCCAGCACCTTAACCACTAAGCCACCTGCTGGCCTCTGCTGGTTAACTTGTAAAGGAAGTGTGAGCAAAGCCAGGACTCCTGGGTGAGGCTTCCTAATTCTGCTGGCCTCCTTAGTCTCAGCTGCTCAAGTCCTGACCTGGCAGCTTGCTTTCTCACATTCCCCTCCCCCCCAGTCAAAGTAAAATAATAAAAAAACAAAATAACTCTTTTTTAAAAAAATATTTATTATTATCCAATTTGACCAGAGAAAGAGGGAGTATGAGAAGCAAGCTGCCAGATCTAGGGCTCAAACCATGATTGGCCATGTGGGAGTCCAACACCTTAACCACTAAGCCACCTGTTGGTCCCAGTGGGCTTGTCTCTTAAGAGGTAAGGGAGATGATGTGGTGCAGTTAATATGGTGTTCATAGGTTCCCTGGTATTCCAAAAAGAACCAGATATTTGGGCTTTTATGCTTTTTTTTTTTTTTAATAAAGATTTTATTCAT